TTGTTCGCCACCCATCCAATGCTACTTGCACGCCTTGCCATGCAGAACGTTGTGGCAGACCGAAGGATCTGGTCCTTGCCCAGCTCTTTTGATGCCCTGATTGTTGACAATGGCCTTGCGGTGGAAAACGCCAGGCAAGCAATGGCGACAGGTGAACAAAATTTTCGTGAGGCTTTGCTACACTCTGACCTTGAGACTGCCTCTAGGTTGTGGACACAAGCAGCCGAGTACTGCCTTGCGAATGCAGTTGTAGATGAGGAAGGCGCCAAGCAGCTGGTCAGGAATGGTCAGCTTGGGCGTGCCTCGAAACCAGTGTTTGTCACAAGCCCCTCGGCCATGCCTCTCACGCCTAAAGCTAGGGACGGAGATTTTGAACCATCGCACACACAGACAGACGTAGAAGGAAGAAGGAGGACCAGGCAGCTTCGCAGATTGCAGAGTTATCTGGATCTTCTTAAGTGCAACAAGCCGGACCCCCACGGAGCCCGGGCACAGAAAGCTGAGCAATTGTGGCAGACCATACTTGGGGCCACGGGCTTTCACCGGGGGTTCCCGGCTTGGATTGCCTCAACCCTCTCGTGCTACGTCCCGCTCACAGCGCCAGATCAAGCTTTTGCAAATGCAATTCTAAGTGCCTTTCATAAGGAACATAAGCAACGCGAGTCTATGAAGTTTCTGGGGAAAATGCAAAGGAAAAAGATTCGGATCATGTGTGACATCCCAAACGGTGGTAGTGAGGCCTACAGGCTCATCAAGGAGAACCCCTTTCCGCCTTTGCAGATGATACACTTTGACCGAGTGGCCGCAATCAAGCGTACTATCTGGCCCAAAGAGGGACGGGATAAGCTGATCCTTGAAAATGCAGATGCCGCCACGTTTGACACCAACGAGCAGATTGTGTTCCAGGGACAGACTGCCCGGATAGCACATGCTGATGGCAGGACTCTCACCCTAGACAGACCGGTGCGTCTCAAAAACCAAAAACTCGAGGTCAGGCAACCAGCTGTGACTGCAGACCGTAGTGACATGCATCGTCAGATCCTTGCTGCTTGGCTCCCGATGGTCCAGCGTGATCATTTAGAAGAGGATGCTGAATGGGACCAGATAATCTTGCGTCTCGATAACCTTGAGATTGGGATCCCTCCCATGCCTTATACCCCCATAACCGGTGCCCAGATCAAGGATGCCCTGCAAGGCACCAAAATCAGAAGTGCCAGAGGAGGTGACGGTTTTTCCACAATGGACCTCAGGAAGCTTCCTTGCGAACTCCATGAGTGGCTAGCCGATATTTTCCACGTGTGTGAACAAGGGAGTGCTTGGCCAGGACGGTGGATGCTTGCCAAGACCCATTGTCTCCCCAAGGGGTTTCAACCCAAGAGTCCACTGGATATCCGCCCGGTTACTGTCCTAGGTAAAACTTACCGACTTTGGTCTAAAATCAGGTCGCAGCAGGTTATGGCGCACCTTGGCAGCCACCTTCCACCGGAAGTGGCAGGGATTGCAAAGGCCATCAGCGCAGATCTCATGGCCATGTATACGGCAGAAAGGGTTGAAGAGGCTAACATGGAGAACAGCCCAGTTTGCGGAGCCATTTTTGACATTGTCAAGTGTTACAACTGCATACCCCGCAGACCTCTCATGCGGGCTCTGCATAAGTGTGGTGTTCCTGGGCCAATTGTACAGGCACTTGCCGGCGCATTGAAGGATATGCGCCGAACTTTTGAAGTTGCAGGTTCTTTCGGAGACATCTTTCAGACGACAACTGGCATTGTCGAGGGCTGTGCCATGGCGGTTGCCTGCATGACAGTGTTGTGCGCGTGGGCCCACCTGCAGGTAGTGGCCCCGATGCCCGGCCTTGACTCGTCATTCTATGCTGATAACTGGGCCCTCATTTCAACTAGCCTCACCACGTTGGAAAATGCCGTCAGAAAATTGGTTGCCTTCTTGGATGACCTTAAGCTTCGAATTGCGCCTGACAAGAGTTGGACCTGGAGCAACAAGCCAAACATTCGCAAGAAACTCCGCGGACTTGTGATTCACTCGGCACGCGTCCCAGTCAGGCACACTGCCAAGGACCTTGGAGCGGATGTTTCCTATACCAGAAAGAGACCCTATGCCACCAAGACGAAGCGAATCGCCAAGGCTAGGACCCGCCTCCTGAAGTTGGGACGAACCAAAATCCTTGGGTCCTTCAAAAAGACGGTTGCTGTTTCTGCTGGCCTGGGTTGTAGCGCATATGGGGAAGAGTTTGTCCCGCACAGCAAGGCGCCCACCCACTCGCTCAGAGTTGCGGTTGCCAGAGCCCTTAACAGGGCAGGACATGGCACCAATGTGTGGTTGGCTCTCAATGCTGCAGACACCAACCTTGACCCCCAATGGAGAGCCATGCTGCAGCGAATCCGCTTCTGGAGACGGTATGTCATGGCTTTCCCGCATCGAGCACAGAGTGTTTTCGCCAGGTTTGCCCTTGACCCCGGTACAAAGCCCAAAGGCCCTGTTGCCTTCTTGGCTCATGTTATCAGGGAGCTAGGTTGCACCACCAGTGATGACGGCCTGTTTATCCAATATAGGCAACAAAAAATTGCTTGGGTGCACGCGCCACCAAAACTGCTACAGAAGTTCTTGTGGCCTCACTGGAACAAGTATGTCGCCAAACAGTGTGCAGGCAGGAAGCACTTCGACGTGACTGCATTCGATGCGCCTCTGACCTCCCAGGTTCTAGATTCTCAGGCGCCGAGACAAAGGGCAATCATCCTTGCCTGCTTGGCAGGGAAACACTATACCAGTGATATCCTAGCCAATTACATAGCTGGATGCGACGGAACATGTGACTTGTGTGGTGAACCTGACGGTCGACTGCATCGGGTCTTCCAGTGCCCGGCTACCCAGGCCATACGGAATGAGTTTGCAGACTCTGTGCGCGCGGTCGCACATTGGCCTGAAGCATGCCGATATTTTGGTGTGTGTCCCTGGGATCCCGAGCTGGATAACATTCAGTCGCACATCCCTACCCTGCCAGATCCTGCCACCCTCTCCTCTGACTTGTGGATACGATTTGAGCAGAAGCGGACTGCTAATGGTAGCAGTGTGTGCCAGGTTTTTACGGATGGGTCCGCTTTCAATCAGACATGCCCTTACACGGCGCTTGCATCCTCAGCAGTGGTTCAGGTTCACCCCACTGAATGCAGGCTGCTTTTTGCGTTTGGGGAAATTTTGCCGGGTGCCTTCCAAAACAGCTACCGTGGTGAAGTTTATGCCATCCTTCTTGCAATCAGTATGTTTGAGAATTGTACCATCTATTGTGATTGCCAGGCCGCTGTTCAGCTTTTCGAAAAAGCCCTGAATTCTGTTCAGACACGTGAGCCTGTCAAAGCACGTGATGCGGATCTTTGGGAAGCGATCTGCTGCACCCTGAAGCGCAAGCAGGGAGCCGTTGTCCAGATCAAGAAAACCAAGGCGCATGCTAACATGGCACAGGCACCAACGGCACAGCTGAAGTGGGAAGCTTTTGCCAATGACTGGGCTGATCACCATGCCAAGCAGGCTATCCAACATGGCTGCCATCGCCAACTCCAACGTGCCAATGCTGCAGCTACCAGACGGAAAGTCAGGAAGGTACAGCTGAGTCATTTGTACGAACTAATGGTGAAGACTGCAGACCTGCACTTGGCGAAAGGGGCTGAAAGAAGGAAAGATGGCCTTCAGATGAAAACGCTCCAAGCAGATTTGTCAAGTTTGCAGCCGTGCCCAGAGCCTAGACGGTGGATCATTGCGGCCCAGGATGAACCCATTCTTGCATGCCCTTTCCACCCGGCCTTTGCTTTCAGAATCCTTGAGTGGGCAAGGGCCCTGAGCTGGCCGGCTGCCTGCAGATGTGGCAAAGATACCACCTATGTTGAGCTCTACCTTGATTTCTGTTTGTTCACCAATAGCCGGGCCCCCGTTTGCCTTTCTAGCTCCAAGACTAGGGTGGCGGGAGTGTCCAGGTGGGAATTGAGAGATCAGAACATGCAGGCCGATTTGGCGCCTCTTGACCTTGCCACCCAGAGCGCCACCTGGCACAAAACCATACATTGGCTTCAGACCAACTTGGAGACTCCTTTGTGGCCGGCTCCACATGTCAACCGGGCCCGGTCCCTGACAGCTGTGGGCTATGCCTTGAAGGCGGCAGGAGTGGCCTGTCGGCCCGTCTTGACGCATGGTGACCAGGCCCTGCGTGTCTTCGAGATGTATGTTAAAGGTGAAAGGGAAACCCGTAGGAACCTCACGTGTTCTCTACACCTGCCTCTGGGCTCACCTGACCCTGTGCCCGGGGAGTTGTGGCAGCCATATGAAGTGAGAGTGCGCAATGTGAATGAGTGGAGGAAAGCCAGGAGATGAGCATCTCGCCCATCCGGACTTAATTCGCTTGCAGGTTTTTGGCAGAGTACCTTTGGTCTGGAGACTGACTCCGGCCCTTTCGTTTACCTTGGCGCCATAGGCGCTGAGTTTCATTGGCACAAGCCATCAAGTGACAGTGTGCCCTGGCCACGCATACCGCTGGGTCAGAGCACTGCATTGGAGCTCCGATGCATTAACGGCAAAGCGTTAAAAGGCCACTGGGCATCTGAGTTTCATCAGGCTGGGCGGAAGTTGCTGAAGTGGCACCGGGTGGTCAGCTGTCGATCCCCTCTTCGCATGTTCACGCGTCTGTCTCAGTGAAATTGCTACCTCTCGGGCACCCCAACTTACAAGCCTCTTATTTCTTTCCAGATGCCTGGGTGCCCGGGTGAGGCGCTTGTAAGAAGATTGCAAAATTGTGTACCTGAACATTCTCCCAATTGTCCAAGGTTACCCACGGGGACGGAGGGCATGCTAGCGTGAGAGCAAAGACTTGGTTTGAAGGCATGAGTTGCCAGTCGTTGAAACTATAGTACTTAAGTAATTTCGAGGTCGTGGCAGACGTGCAAGCCTTCTGTGACAAGTCTTCGTCAGTCAGCTGCTGCAGATGCGGTGCCCTCATGACCGGTGTGGTTGATTTTCCGTGGTTTTCGTGCTGCGCACTATTTGAGAGTGGCTTGACATTATTCAATTTTGCTTGTAACACTCAGCAAGTCCACAGTTTTAAGTTTGCGATTTGCCGGGCAGCCAGGAGTAGCGTTTTCTATTCGTGCCAAGCACGAAGGACGAACTCGGAGAAGAAACCCCGGAAAGAATCGTCCAAAACGGGCTTCACGTCCCGAGTCATTTGAGTCAGGAGCGGCTCGAGGAGGAGATCAAGGAGTTGAAGGCCGAGCCCTGGGAGCGATCGATGGGTGCGAGTTGTGCTTGGCTCTTTCTTTAAGACGCCAATGGCAAGGTTAGCGAGTTGGGCATGTTGCAGCTTCTAGTTGTGTGAGTGGTGACAACAACGACTAATAATAACTTGCAGCTCCTATTTTTGTGAGAGACAGCGACAAATCACGATGACAATGGTGATCACAGCTCGGACCATCATCATTAAGGCAGTGTTTGTTTCGGTGTCAAGCCGTGCTGAATGTTTGCTTCAGCTTGTTGTTATCTAGGTGGTTGACTGGCAGAATTTAAAGGGGGGCATACTCTAGTTTGCCTTTTCCAGGATTGTTAGGTTCGGAGCTTTGGTACTTGTCCGTTTTTTCCCATCAATCCAGTCACTTGAAGCTGATTCATCAAAGCATACGTGAAGGTAAAGCACCCAAGGTTCATTCCTGCGGGGAAACATGGGATGGCCAACGGATTATCAAGACAAGTGGCCCTTTGAGACCCATTTCAGTGCCATTCTGCTCTGCCTCGAACGAATCAAAGGCATTGAGCAGGAAACCCCAAGAGGGCCATTTTTGTTGGTGGTTCTAAGATTCTACTACCTGGTCTCATGGTGGTAAGGCCAAAAGCCTTTACAACCATTTGGTTCCGAAAGTCAATGGATTTGGGCACTGCTCAAGAATACACAGCCAGTCCAGGCAGGATGCTTTCAATTTTCAGGTTGGCACCCATCAAACCAAAGTGCCAGCGTCTCTCAATAGGCACCTCTGTTTCGGATCTTAGACGATCAGCAATTTTCGGGGAAGCACTTTGAGGAAGTCCGTTTCAGTCCACTCCAACAATTTTCTTATTGGACAAAGGGAGACGGTCACACACACATATACACAAACCACAGGGTGTGTTTGTCATAGTGGTCCCCTAAAACAGTCTACTTCCTGTTTGTTTCTCCTTGCCAACAAAAGCAGGGTCCATTGTTTTGGGGGGTGTCTTTTTTACCCCCCCCCCCCCTTCCCCCCCTCCCCCACTCCCACAAAAACTTGCGGTTTTCCTCTTGGTCTCCCATTTTGAGAGAAACTTCGCATGGCCCCCCCTCCCCCGCCCCAAGCTCCGAAAAACCTCCGAAAAGCCTCAGGGTCTGCTGGCCACAGAGCGGCAGCAGCTCTCTGAGGAGTCCCAGCGGGAGAAGGCGACCTGATCCCCGAGCTGGGCCGGTTGCGCGCCCCTAGGAATCTGTGGGTCTCTGTTAAGATCAAGCAAGCACAAGAGGGGCCCCTTGTTGCGGTCTGAGGTTGCGAGGCTATGACTGAACGCGCCCTTTTGGAAGTGAAACAAGCGGTCCTTAGGTTCCGATCTTTCGGGAGGCGTTTCCTGATTTGGACGGAGCTTGACGCAGTTTTGACGCTTCGACGGAGCTTTGCTCTGAGCTTGGGGTGTGCAGCTACTGTAGTCTGCTCCACCGAAACCCGGGAAAAGAGGACATCACAAGCACGACGCATCTGCCATGCTTACTTTGTGCAATTTTCTAATAGTTTCAGGTGAGCAATTCATGTTTCGACGGCCATGATCAATTTCCAGGAGTTTGGAATTGATTACAAATCTCATTTTTGTCCAGGCATTTTCCAGGAATACAGTAGTCTCCGGAAACTTTTGTGCAGGTGTGTATATATATATATATAGATATATATATATATATAGATGCATACATACATACATACATACATACATACATACATACATACATACATACATACATACATACATACATACATACATACATACATACATACATACACATACATCCATCCATCCATCCATCCATCCATCCATCCATCCATCCATCCATGCATCCATCCATCCATCCATCCATCCATCCATGCATGCATGCATGCATGCATGCATGCATACATACAGACAGACAGACATACATACCTACGTACGTACATACATACATACATGTTCATGTCATGTATATACATATCTATGTATATGTATATATATATATATACATATTTATGTACAGTCCAGTATATATGTATACACGTGTGCGGATGGCATGAGAGGCTGGGGGGGTCCAACATGAAGGGCCTGGCAAATGTTTTCGCGCGCCAGGCGAGGGCCCAGGACTTGGATCAGCAGCTGGCGGAGATCCGCAGCCAGGCGATGGTGTCTCATCGATGGGGTCACCCCACGAGCTGGGCCTTGGTAAGCCCAGCCACAGGCTTTTAGCGGTGTTTTTCGTGGTGTTGGGTGTTTTCTTAGTGGCTTTCAGAGGTGTCTTTAGTGGTTTTTAGGTGGTTTAGTGGAAGTGTCCGCAAAACCACTAAACAAGTCCTTAAAACTTGAACTTTTAGCAGGGGATCGAAGGGGAACTGCCCAGAGGCGGTTTGGATGGGGTGGGGTAAGAACTGGAGCCCTGGCTTTTGTAGAGGAAGCACCAATTCGAGGGAAGCTGTGTTTCTATGGGCCTAAGTTCAAGCGGGTGGACCCTTTGGTGGTCATCAGAATTCGGTCGGGATTCATGTCCAATCACTTTCTAGGTGTGCCACGAACAAACATGGAACCTACCAGAGGGCCCGGTGTAGAGGAAAACGGTCTGAACATGGTGCCTCCCCCGAAATAGGTTCCATGGTTTTTGGGGAGGGCAAGGGGCAAATTCTTCACTAATTGCTGCTTGTGGCCCAACCATGTCCTGGTAAATCTCATGTGTGCTAAGTGTTTGTTTGGTTGGGTTCTTGACTGATTGTTACTCACTACACTATTGTGCCTAAGGTGGCTACATATTTGCTATAGTATTCCCCTGCCATCAGGTCTAAGTTTAATTGTAAACGCTTCGCGTTGCCCGCCTCGGCCCAGCCTAGTTTGAGGGAAGGGTCAGGAACACCGAAATCCAGTGTTGGGAAGGTCCGAATACCTGAAGCTGGCTTCAGACAAGTCAGACAAGCCGGCCTCACCTGGTTGGGCTGGGCCACAGGCTAGTCTCAGACACATCAGATAAGCCTGCGCTGGGCCTGAAGCTAGTCTCGGGCAGCTTGGCTGGACCTTGCTTGGTTGTTGGTTGAGCTGAAGCTAGTTTACGGCGGGCTGGGCAGCCGCACTGAGGGGGCTGGGCTATGGCTGGGCTGGGCCTGAGACCAGTTTCAGACACGTCAGACAGGCCTGGCCAGCAGGCGGACTGGGGCTGGGCTAGACGCTAGTTGAGCCCAGGCTGGTGAGGCCCAGTCTCGGCGCTAGATAGCCTGCAAGTCTCAAACCGGGTGGGCTTGGGTGGGGTTGGCTTAGGTAGTCTCAGCCACGAGGCTGCGAAGCCATGGGTGGTGCTGGGCAGCTGGATTATGGTGTTGGTTGCGCCTGGAACTTGGGCTGGCTGGGCTGAGCTGTGCTTGGGCGGGTCGCTGGATGGGCTGAGGCTGGGTAGCGAGTTGCTGGCCAGGCCGGGCCTGAGGCCAGTCGCAGACACGTAAGACACGCCAGCAGGCGGGCTGAGGGACTGGGCCTGAGGCTAGTCTCAGGCTGGCATACCTTGAGACCAGTCTCAGACTGCGCTGAAGGGGCCTGGTCAGCCTGGGCTGCTGAGTAGCTGGCATAGCTTGAGACCAGTCTCAGACTGGTCGTTGGCCTGAGGCCAGTCTCAGACACGTTAGACAAACCACACTGGGCTGAGCCTGCTGGTCTGGGAGTTGGGGGCTGGTAGTGGCTGGCATGCTCTGAGATGCGCTGGGGCCTGGGCTGGGCAGGCTTTTGGGCTGGGCCTGAAGCTAGTCTCAGCCACAAGGCTGCGAAGCCATGGGTGGGTTGCTGGCTGCCGGGCAGCCGGACCAGGCTGCTGGTTGTGCCTGGAACTTGGGCTGGGCGGGCTGGGCTGAGCTGTGCTTGGGCGGGTTGCTGGACGGGCAAGGCCTGTTTCATACACACTTGGGCCTGAGGCTGGGTGGCGAGTTGGCTGGGCTGGGCCTGAGGCCAGTCGCAGACACGCCAGCAGGCGGGCTGAGGGACAGTCTCAGGCTAGCAAACTTTGAGACGGGGCCTGCTGGCTGATTTGGGGCCAGACGCGAGCAGGAGGTCAAGGTCTGGCCAGCCTGGGCTGAGTTGCTTGGGCAGCCGGACTGAGGGCTGGGCCACGTCAGACGGGCTTGGTGGCTGGCATAGCTTGAGACCAGTTTCAGACACCTTAGACAAACCTGACCTTGGGGCCGGCCTGGCTGGGCTGGGCGCTGGGCTGGGCTTGCTGGATGACTTGGGGTAGGCCTTTCCGACAAGCTTGGGCCTGAGGCTGGTGGGCTGGGCTGACAGGCCTGGCCAGCAGGCGGGTTGCTGGTTGGGCTGGGCCTGAGCCTAGTCTCAGACACGTCAGGCAAGCCTGGCCACCAGGAGGTCATGCTTTTCAGGACAAAAAAGCATTTTTTTAGTGATTTTCGCAATTGTCAGCACATTTTCGACAAAAATGGACCCATGGAGCTGGACGCCGACGAACCCCGAAAATTTCAAGGCCCGCCGGACAGGATTTTGGGCCAGCCGACCTGGGTGGGGGGGGGCCCAGCAAAATTTTGGGGGGGAAAAGCGAAGATTCTCTTTGGAGAAGAGATCTGAGCGCCCTTGGCCCCTTTGGGGCCGAGGCGAATTCTAACGTGCCTCCACAAACCCATTCCAGCTATTTAGCCCCTATTGTGATTGATTGTCCATTTAGTGTCCTTTGCCAGGGTCGCTATGTAATTTTGTTCTACCCTCGTGCCAGGCCTTTCGGAGCACGGAGAAACACGGCTACATTGATGATTGAATTGTTGGATTATACCTCACAATAATAGATTCACCGGTTTTTTGCTGAGAAAAATGTCCACAACCCGAATTAATTGGAATCATAATCCAAATACAGACAAAGCGAAGGCCAACACAGTCGCAAGCATGAATCCATGGTGCATATATCCTGAGCATCTTTGTTCATAACCGCAACAACCCTACTACATGACGTGTTTTTTTTGTAAGTTGTCACCCCTACACAATCCGTTTTCCCTCGGGGTATGGTGACTTGAGGGGCATGGAGCAGTATCCCCTGTTCCTGTCCCAGGACGATCTATGTCTCATGGACATGTTGACCCCGGATTGCGGGCTAGAGGTAATGTTGTGAACTGCTGAATAGTTCAGCCAATTATCTGGCGAATACTCACGCTTTGCTGGCTTGCGCATATTGCTGATGCTTTCTCAACATCATATATACGTACTGTGGTTGATTGATGATTTCTCTTGCTGGTGCGGGAGATGCAGGGAATGAGATAAGTGAAAAAACATGGTTCCTTTATTCGGGAATCCCCCAAACCGGTTCATTCCATTTCTCCTTCCCTACTTCTCGCACCGACCGCAATTATCGCTAGCTCACACGCTGCTCATGGCACCGTGGCTCTTCACGCAAGGCTGTGACCCTCAAGGGCCAGCTGGACGCGGCGAACGTGGAGCTGGAGACCAATCGCCTTGCGGGGGTCCTCAACCGAAGCATCGGAAGGGCTTGGAGGGTGGATCACCCCCCTGAATTTTGCATGTTCAGGTCTCCCCTCCCCCTTGAGGGGGTGGTGATGGCATGTGGCAGGTTGAGAAACATTGCCCCACGTGAGATGATCCTGCCAATCTGCGGAATATGTTTTGGACCATCAGTCTTTGTTTCCTTTGCGGACCGCGATGTTGTGTGCATCGCTCGCCCCTTCAGGTGCAGCACCAATATACAAAGCTTGCTTGAAGTCACCAGCCGGTCTGTGCACAAACAACAAGTCCAAAGTTTGCTTTTGCAGACTCCTTATGCCTCATTGACTTGCAGACCCTAGGGTCAAGCAACAAATAATTGTTCTTCCATGTTTGGTCGAGTTGCCCATCCGAGCAAACTATGCAAGCCATTCATTAATGTTGATGCAATTTGTTTGTGACCAGGCGACCAGACGTTGCTTGAACCAGAGAACAATGGAATCCAACGCAACCCCTCAGATCGAGAGTGTCCCGGATTGCAACTCATGGTACCCTTCCTTTGGGCTCGTCCATGGCAGTTGTGTTGTTCAGTGACAATATGGAATCTTCGGAATGTTGTTGCTCCAAATAGTTGCCAAGGCACTTGTTTTGTTGGGCAACCGGCAATCCCCCATGTCCAAATGTTCAATGTGGGTGGAAAACACATGCTGCCGTGGCCTGCATCGCCCCTCACTGGACATGTTTGTTCGACATTTGGTCCAGGCTTTGCTTGTGCGTGTTTTATGAGGGTACCCTTTCCGTTTGGGTCTAAAGGGAAACCAAAAGGAAATCGCTCACTTCCCGCCGTCCCGCGACATACCCACTTGCCTGCAATTTTGGTCACATAGCTTGCCAGGTTTGTAGTAGAACCAAGCAATGAGGTGATTAACCCCCCACACGCTTGGGTCCCCACTAGGCTGTTTCCATCCACTTGGGGGGTTGATCAGAATTCCTGAGCCCAACATGAGGGTAGCTTGTCCCGTTTGGTGAAAGCCATTTTGTGGGTGGTTTCCCTTTTCACCCCGTGTTTACCAGAGGTTTTTTCATCCCATCGCCCAACAAAAGCCCCCATGGGATCGCTTCGATCCGCGGATGGACGCGGATCCGGATCTCGCCGAGGACTGGGAGCAGAAGCTGAGGGACTCGGGTACGGAGAATGGGAAGCTGGAGCGGGAGAAGAAGGAGCTGCAGGAGGCGGCCCTCAAGGCGTGGTGGGGGGGGGGCGGGGTGGGGGGGAGGGGTTGGGTGGTGGGGGAGGGGTTGGGTGGGGGGTGGGTGTGGGGGGGTGGGGGGGTGGGGGTTGGGTGGGGTGAAGGGGGTGAGGGGGTGGGGGTGAGTGGGGGTGGGTTGGGGTGCGTGGGGGTGGGTTGGGGTGGGTGGGGGTGGGTTGGGGTGGGTGGGGGGGTCTGGGAAACGATGTGTTGACGAAGCGAATGGCACGAACTGGACATGGAAGTTTTGGTGAACGCTGGGGTTAGCCAAGGCACAGGGTGTTCAGGGGGGGAGGCATGGCAGGAGGAAACGTGGGAGGGGCTACCCAGGATGAATAAACCAAGCTTGGAGCTGCATTTGAAGGGCCTGCTTCCTCCTTCGTCTCTGCGAGCACCAGGAGGAAAGTCGATTCACTGTGCGGGCTGCTCCACACTACTTCTGGGGGTCTGCGAGTACGTTTGAGGATGCCCCATGTCAATTTATGAGGGTGCTTCTTCCATTGCCGCCCCCAAAACTGACTAACACAACTAAACAACTGGCCCGCTAGATCCAAGGCATCTAAGTAGCTTGTCCCCAAGCTGGTCAGGGTGCTATGGACTGATGCAGAACCACTCTTTGACAATTCTCGCATGGCAGGCCGGCTTTTCTGGTACAGGACTTGAAGACCATGAGACCAGCCACTTCATTTGAGCCACAATGCAAACCGATCCGGGTAGATGAAGGTTAAGGGATGATCCCAACCACAAATAGCTGTGGATATCCGCCTTAATCCTTGAAGCATGGTTCTGGGATTAGGCCCATTTTAATACCAGGTTTTTGAGCAAGCGACTCATTTGGGATGTGTGTTCTGCCTGAGACATCGCCTTATGGGCGGTCGCTGACTTTGAGTCACCTGCCCGAATTTTGCATTGCATCGTGCGATCGCCACTATCGCAATCGACAAGTAAGAAGAGTAGGCCGGTGTTCCAAGTATAAGAAGCCGCTTCAAGCAACATTCAAAGGCGTCCTTGGTTTTTGGACCCCCCCTACATTTTTCTGCCTTCAGCTCTCGATGAAATCTGTCTTATTCCATGAATATTTGGCTAAACCTTTCTCCCAAGATCTCCATGTTAGCTGCGTCATCTCCGAAGCTTCCCCCAAGTTTTCCTGCCCGAACATGCAAAGCTCGCACGCATGTGTTCAATATCTTTATTTTGGGTTGCTCCAAATCAGTCCCTCATCCTTGTGCCAAGGGGTAGTGGGTTCACTTGAGTCACAATCAACACCCGGGCAAATGAAGGTTAGTAAGGGGCAATCGCAGCCATAAATGGCTGCGGCCGCCTTTTCAATTCCTTACATGGTTCTGGGTTCACCATTCTGGTTCCAGGTTTTGATTGTGACTCACTTGCGTTCGTGTCCTACTGGTACCTTTGGACGGCGGATTCGGATTAGACTCAGCTTGTTCGTGGAAACTCAGCTCAGCCTTCCAGGCGGAGCAGAAGTACCAAGAGGAGGCCGGCGAACTTTCGGCAAGGCTCTCGATGCCGTAAGGGTCACTACTCGGAGTCGCACGTGGCTAGGGGTCAAAACCCAAATCGTACCCCCAGTGAGCATCCGATTCAATCCAACCACTAAAATAGACTAAACTGGGTGGTGAATTCACCTCAAAATGGGATCCCATTGGTGTTGACCCACGGCCACATGGCAAAAGGCTCTGGAGATTGCTACGATCGTTCGCAGGTGTGCCCTCGTTCGATTCGATGTGAAAGGCTATGCTGACCTGCTCTTGCTGGGCGTTCAATTAACTTGCAGGTCAGTGGGTGCTGGAAAGAACTGCTAGGGAGAGTGTTGCCAACTCAACATCCGCTCGCAAGCTGTCAATTTCAAGGATTCTCACCGGGCCTTGCAAATCTGGCCTTCGGTTGCAAGATGTGAGACATAGACCTGGGCAGTAGAGACGGTCATCAATCCTTTAGACACGAAGCTACATTGACGGATGCCAAAAAAGTGTCGACCAGGTTGGTTATGATATTTCAGGGGTTTTTACTGGAATGAGCACCTAATGCAACCATGATTGTTCACTTGCTCCCCCCCTCCCCTGGTGCTCCTGTGGATCCGGGCGTTCTTAGTGAGGGCCAGGAATATTTTTCAACCCTCGTGTCCATTGATTTTCCTTTCGGTAGGGCAACATTCGATGGACTCCAGCGCACTGAAGAAGCCCAAACACAGCGGGACTTGTTGTTGCCCTTCAACCATCCAACATGCCCCGCACAATTTGGACCGCCATAATCAGGACCCTTTCGTGTCACCCAGATACGGGCTTCCCGGTGGTTTCCTTGTGGTTCCCTGGTGGTTTCCTGGTGGCTTCCTAGTGGTTTGCTGGTGGTTCCAAGTTGCTTGGTCCAACCAAACCGGGTGTCTTTTTTTTTGGGGGGGGAACCCCCTTTAAGGGAGACCCAATCATCGAAGAATCAACCTCCATGTGGGGCGGGGTACGGATTTGCCCCGAGAATGCCCAAACACCGACTCTCAACGACCGATCTATTGTTTTGGGGGGGGGAGTTCTCATGTTTGAGGGCCAAACAAACGTGAAAATATGATCCACCAACGCACAGAGGTCATGAGTTTCACTGTTTCTGGGGGTTCTCGCAGTGAGAACATGGGATTGTTATGGTTTCCCTTTCATGAACCCACCAATGGGGGTGATCAAAACCTGAATAAGTAAGGGTAGTAAGGGACAATCCCAGCCATAAATAGTTGCGGCCGCCTTTGTATTTCCCTACATGGTTCTGGTTCAACCATCTTAATACCGGGTTTTGATTGTGACTCATTTTGAGAAAATGCAAAAAAAGAACACCCTCCCAACCCCTCAGCCGTTTCTCAGCCTCCCATCAGCCTATCCTCAGCCTCCCCTCAGCCTCCCGTCAGCCGCCCGTCAGCCGCCCGTCCGTCAGCCCGGGCTAGGTGAAGCTCCACGCCTCGGATGCCAAGGAGCTGAGCAGCGCCCAGCAGCGACTGCTGGACCTCGAGAGGCGCGCTCTCGGAGAATTCGATCGATCCGCGATCCGCCCGCCGCCGGGGGATGGCGGGGGTGGGGGGGGGTGTCCCGGGCGAGCTCGCCCCAAATGGATCCAAAGGCGAGGATGGCGCGCGGGACCCTTTGCTTTGAAAAGGTGAACCACCTGAATTGAGAGTTTTTAGTGGCTTCGTTTTGGCGAGATATTTTTGAGGGACGTTGTAAACTGAGGGGAAATGTCCGCGAAAATTGCTGAAGCAAGGCCTTCGGGTCGATGAGTCGATGACCGTGGGATTTCCGTGAAATCTGGTTTATATTTTGGGCTGGACCAACCAGACTAACTTCATGTATGAACAAGACTCGTGAGCTGGGGGTATTTGTACATTAGCGGTTGGTGGACATGAATCCCCACCCAAACAAGAATCTGAAAATGTCGCTTTCAGTGTTCGCAGATGCGAACCTTATTGAGCATGGCACAGGTCTGGGCCCCTTGAAGAGGTAGGATTGGGGAATCCTCAACCAGCTTTGTGGTTGCAATGATTTGGTTTCCCAAATGCACCTTGATCACTTTTTGGTGGTCAACCTGAAATGGATGCTCTTTTTCTAACAGGGTCGCTGGGCGACGAGAATCCTCCACCGCCAGTGCCACCTGTGGTTAGTTGGGGCTGTAGCTCTTCAATTTTCCTTTGAAGCAAATTCAACAATTGTAAGACCATCAAACAGAGATGCCCATATAATTCTAAAAAGGTGATTCAAACATCACCTTTTGGAAGGGCATGCGTCTTTTGTGAGTTTCCTCTTGAGGTGATGATACAAAGGGAGGTTGAGAACTCTGACCTGCCAAGCACATGCAACTCAAACTTTGATCAAACGCCGGGGACATGTCACAAGAAGACCGGAACCACGCAAAGTGGTTGGTTCCCTTGTGGTTTACCTTCGAAATGGGGGGAATGTAGCCTATTTTCAGACACACCCATAAACATCATTTTCTGTGATATAGAGACTTCAGAGTGCTTGGGTCACCATGTCTGAGGAAGCGGCTGGGAAAACTTACTTCAGATAGTCCAAATAAATATGTTGGTGCCTGCTCTTGCTTGTGTTCCGGTTACATGCTTGCATGTGGTCTGCCTGCAGGGTGATTCATGCATTTCATGTCGGGTCATTGGCACAATGAACTGCGTGTTTGTTGAGACATTGTGAATTGCTGTGACATTGTGAACAACTATGTTGCCTCTCAAAGATGTCATCGTACCCCCTGGCATATTTTTGCTTCTGCTCCTTATGGGTTTGCCTTAAGTTTCTTTTCGATACATCTCAACCCAATTTAATTCCCATCTAAAGAAGGCCCCCCCCCCAGATCTGCCCCCAAGACCCACTGAACCCCGCTGAACCCCGGCGCCTTGCGGCCAGGGGCTCTCAGCAGCTGAAGCTGCGGCAACAAGACTTGGTGTCGGAGGCGGAACATGCCCGAGAGGAACGGGCCGAGGAGCTCATCTCCCTTCGCCGCCGTATGGAGCCACTCGGACGCGTCGCGGTTTGGATTTGGAGGCCGAAGCCACCGGTAGAGTCCTTTGAGAGAACGAAGACATGCGAAAATTGGGGTGTCCAAGCCAAAGACATGCCATATTTAGCGGTATAAGTATGAAACAGAGTCAGAACATCTGGTTTTTGCCGAAATGCAGTTGGGGCATCCAAGATGTGTTCTAGATGTCCGCAGAGGGAGCCAATCACCCTATTATTTGATATGTTTTAAGCTGACCTGTATAGCCGAAGTGGTCCACCCTTCGGTTCCCTTCGGTTCCATGTTAGTGGAAGGTGAGATGGTGCCCAAGTTCTACTGCCAATGCCGGGTGGAGAAACTGAATTCGGTTTCGCCAGGTATGGGAATATGTTTGGTTCAAAACCATTCCGTGCAGTGTGAAAGGAGAACCGACGTGATGTTCAAACGACGGTCATTGAAGCCTCTTGCCACAAGTTGTTGGCCCAATCCTGGTGCAGCCGACAAGCAGGTAGGCTGAAGGAGCCATGAACGGCCAGGAAAGTTTTCATCATGATATGTAACTCGAAATGGAACCCTGCTATATGGAACCAAGAATACAACCTGCGGTCCCATATAAAGGGACGGAGAATTTAGATATTTGTCCAGAGAGACCACCCCCTCAACTTACCACACCGCAAGAGGGAAGATCTTCTTTTGTGCCCAGGCAAGCCGAGGAGCATGCTCGCCGGCTGGCAGAGGAGAATTCTCGCTACCGCGAACAGATGGTGGTGTCTCAGCGGCAGACAGCATGCGACGGCCGGCGACATGCCCCAAAATCAGTGGGTATAAATGGCAATGGGTCAAAACCCCGTACCTCCAGTGAACATCTCAATCCCCACGAAAATAGACTAAAATGGGTGGTGCACCTAATTATACCAAAATGGTGCCATTGGTATTGAACCATGGCCAAATGGGTTATACACGGGGTCCATTTCTTGCTTTGACATACTTGTGGATAGCGTATGTGCAATTGGGGACAGTCGGCGTCAATTCGAAGAGGCAATGAATTCATCAAATCGGGTGTCTGAATCGTAAAGCGGGTTGGTCCTAGGTGTTTTTTGCTTGGAGCATCGGGCAAATCGTGTGTTTGCACTAGTGCGTGGCATCTAACAAGACTGTGATGTTGCCAAGCTGCATCGGTTTTGCCGCAGGCGTTGAATGCGGTCGCGCGGCGTATGTCAAAGCTGCCATATCCAAAGGTGGATTGGAATGGGGCAAATGGGGTTGACCTCGCGCGCAGAAACACCGTTTCTGCCACGCTCGCAAAGTGAAACACAGTCAGCAAGCTCAATCCTGATTCATTGGCCCTGCTCGCACTTGAGCTGCTGTTTCAGGACTTCCGTTGTGATAGGGAAATTTGCTTTGATCCAGAGGCCGGGATCCTTTGAGTAATCCACAAGACGTGCGGCACATGGGACCCAGCCCTTTTTGGCTGATTAGACGATCTTGGTGCACGGTTTGGTTGCCAGTTTAGTCGCCGTTTGCACCTGCACGAGCGCTGCTACTTCCACACGTGCAATCAAGGGCCTGCAGACTGATCGGGCTTGCCGCTTCACTTCACCCACTTGCCCAGTGGATTCCGCCCTCTTTTCCTTGTTTTGGGAAGGCTTCCATTTCCTTTAAACTCAACCAACCGGGAAAAGAGCAAACAAACAAAAAATATAAAACAAATAAACGGAAAGCCTTTTCCCCGCCTGGAAATCCACAGGGCATTTGAGCTTTACATGTCAATGGCTGCGACTTTCAATCTCCAGTGCCTCACTCCCTTTCCTAGCCTTTGCGTTTTTTCCCAGACAACTCGACCTTCATGAGACCTCTCGTGTCAAAACCAGCTAAGACCATTTTAGTACTTTTTGTCATGCAACCATTCGACGTGGCCAACCCACTCAAGTGTGCCAAGGACTTCGGCCGTGCAGTGGAGGGCGATGCAGTGCGAGAGCAGGCGAGGGGACCTCGGGGGCCGGTATAGAATGGAAAAGAGGTGCGCGTCCAATCATTTGGGCTATGTCAAGTGTTGTTAAATGGGGTCTCTAGTGCTGCTGCTGCTACAACTACTACGATTAAGACTACTGCTAGTGCAACCGGAGCTGCCCGCCACCACAACGACAAGCACTACCACAACCTTCAGCAAGGAACCAGCAGCAACACACTATTGACAACTGGGTATGTGTCAGAACAAAAAACACCAGTTTCGCAGGGTTTAGTCCATGTTTCCACTTAACAGGGTTCCATTTTGGGCACACTTTTTTGACCCAGAGCCAGCTCAAGCGCCGTTCGAATTGATCTTCAGAGGCTTACAGGCTTGGACTCGCGACCGCCTGCGATTCACGTGCTCGGTTGAAGAGTGACAGGGCGCTGCAGATCAGTTTCCAGGATATCAAACATCGGGTTGCTGTTGGTTTTGAGCATCGAATCCCTTCCTTTCTTCTTGCTGCACAGCAGTTGTTTCGCTGACTGGCTCAGGGGTGGTCGGTTTAGAGCACTTTAACAGATGTTGGGTTGCGTTGAGGGTGTTAGTCTTGCGCGCGTTAAAGCTGGACAAGCCAGCAAACCCCAAACGGATTGTACAAACACTTGACCTTGCTTACAATGTGCATGTAATATGGGTTCACAGTGGAATCTCTTGGCCCAGGGTTTGATTTTTTGTCAAAGTCAGACGCCCAGACGCCTTTGGCAGCGAGTCTTCCCGTGATCCGCACTGAAGGGTCCTTTCTTGGGGTCGATTTCAGGGGTCAATGTTGTGGTTCAGCTGCAAGAAGTCCCGCTCAAGTTCTCAAATGCAACCACTTTCAGGAAACTCTCAGAATTGTTAAAAGATGTTTAAAGAGAACCGCCTTCTATAGACGCAACAACTTGAACCCACAAAGCACCCACGTACCCTTGATTCTCCACAAATGGTGGCAAACCAGAAAAGGTTCCCTGGTTCCGTCGCATCGCCTCTCGACTTGAGGGGATTTTGACCTTTGGTTGGTCAGGTGCTTGCAGAGATGAAGAAGGCCCGAGAGATCGGGGAGCTGGAAAGGCACCGCCTGGCCACTCGAAAGCAAGTCCTGGCTTGAGAGGCGGCTTGAGCGGCTTGAGGATAGGCCAGGGGGCCCGGGGGCTTCCTCCAAGAGGAGTTCTTGTTTTTTGTTGCGGAAAAACAACTATAGACTAAACAGCAAAATACAGATGGGCCATTTTCGACTTGCCCAGTGGCGCCCTGCGTTCCTTTCAAAACTCAACCAACCAAAAAAGGATGCCTTTTTTTCCCGTGGAAATCCACTGGGCATCTGAGATTATTTGAACATGGTAACATGATGGTGTACAGATTGCCAAGGAGTCTGGGGTCTCGTTTTCTTGAAAGTCATATCAGGTTATCAATTTGGTGAGCTAGAGCCGCGCTAGAGGGAAACAAGTACTGGTTGCTTTAGAATTTCCGCTGCTAAATAAGACGCATAAGCTGCAGGATACAGTATCCCTTACTGGGCTACAGTTGAATTGATTATGAAAGAGGCTCATGGGTCCAAGTATGTAGAAAGCACATCTAGTGGAGGACGACTTGAAGGGGAATGCAACTGCGATGACGATTTGGAAGCCTCTTCCGTCAAACACACTGGTCTGTGATCATTTGATGGTTTTTGTACATGAAGGCAGCATCAGAGTTTAAACGGCAGTCCTCAATCAACGCTTGGCATGATTCGAGTTCAGCACATCGCCCACAACAGCAGCGCAAGAGATGAAGCAAAAGGTTGACTTCGAGTTTGTGTAAAATCCTCCCCTCAACAAATGCTATAGGCTGACCTGTAAATCAATGCTAAAGTGGGGTTTCCAACTCTAAAGGAATGAAAACCCACCCATACAGTGCGAAAGAAACACAATGCCCGATTGCAATTCTTGGCTGGAAGTTTGCCAGTCGTTGGGTGAATTGCCCGCGGGAGCCCTTTCCAATCGGCATTGCAGAGTTTGACAAGAAAATGGTTCACGTGAAGCCCAGCCCGACAAAGCCATTCCCTTAGCCAATGCAACTGTCACCCCTAAATGAATGCTAACGTAGCAACCACCCCCATACAAGAATGCTAAAGTGGCAAAGCCTCCCCTAAATGAGTGTTGAAGTGGAAACCTCACCGCCCTTCCTGGGTGCAGCATTGCGGGCCCCTCCCGCAAGTGGGCTACATGTAAGCAGCTTGATTGGGTATCAGTGGTACCCAACCCAGGGATACGTGGCTGAGCCCTCAAAATGCTGATTTCTGCACTCCATTGTTGATAAACCACCAGTCCCACCCAACCGGAATCCAATCCAGGAATTCCATTCTAGGATAAACCGCCAATTCCAGCTAGAGCCTGGACTTCGCCATGGCGAAGGTTTCTGAGAGACCACTGGCATTACAAAATGGGTGGGTGTGAAAGGAGAAAGTTGGACTCCTCAAAATCGTGGCTTTCCAGGTGTCCCACCCAAGAGACCTGCAGGCAATTAATTTTAAGGAAGGATGCCTCTTGAAAGTTGTTTGTGGCATCTCCGCCATTGGGTCTATTGAAATTCACACCTTGCGGTTTCGAAGAGACCTTTGGTTCAGAGTGCAACCCCTGAACGCTATTGCTATTGGGTTGGATTTTTAGACTTGGATTTTTTGGATACACCTCATATTTCCTTGTAACCTGCCAACAGTAGTGTTCAACGTTTTGCCGCGGAATCTACAGCACCCAAGCTTCCTTTTGCTTGTGAGGATTATTATTGTTCTTTTCCCTGGCTAGTTTTGTTTGTTGAAATCTCGTACTGACTGGACGTAGTTTTATTTTTATTTTTTCCCCAGGGCTTCGAAACCGAACACGGAAGAACAAGGAAACATTGGTATTTGTGTCTTCTTTTCAGCCACCCCCGGATTTAACGCAAAGCTTGGTTTCAGCCCAAGCCGCCCGCCCCCGCGCTCCGACTCATCCGACAGCTTTCCGAGGAGCTGCAGAAGACGCAGGCGGCGGAGGACGGCAAGGCGCTGCGCAGCGAGAACCAGCGGCTCCGGGAGCAGCTGGCGAAAGAGCAGCGCCCGAACCTCAGAAAGACGAGACGCGTCCGAGGCGGCGCTCAGAAGGCGCTGGACTTGCGATGGGTGCGAAATCGGTAGGGAATGAGAGGGTCCCTCTAGGGAGACCCGGGGGTCCCCTCAAAGGAAACTCGGAATCGGCTCAGAAAGACTCAGAGACGGCTTCTCAGCTTGCGATGTGCGAGAAGTAGGGAGTGAGGGAATAAACCCAGGGGATTCCCCTGAAACCAGGGGTCCCCTTAAAGGAAAGGCGCTCAGAAGGCGCTGAGAAGAACTTGCTGGAGATCCAGGGATGAGGAAATGAGGGAATGACTCATCCCCTACCTTGACTCATTTTTTGGGATCAGGAGATCTTTGGAACAACTTGCGATGGCTGCGAAATCGGTAGGGAAGGAGAAATGGAATGAACCCAGGAATTGGTCCCCTTAAAAGGAAACCACAAGGAAATCACTCAGAAAACTGTCGGAGGCTTCCCAGCTTGCGATGGGTGCGAGAGATGCAGGGAAGGAGAAATGGAATGAAGCGTTTTGGGATTCCCGAATAAAGGAAACCACCAGTTGGACGGTTAATAGACATCATTCCATTTCGCATTCCTTGCTGAGCACCAGCAAGCGAATCGTCCGGTTCCTTACCCCTCCTACCTTCCAGCAATTAGCGTGGCACCTCCCTTTAAAAGAGAGAGGGTTGCAAACGCGACAAGAGAGTAGATACAATGACAGAATAAAGCGTTACGACGACAAGATCCCAACAAGAAGGGATCCGCACAATTTGAGGTTTGTAAACCTGGTGGTGTCCTTTTTTCCGGGCCAAGAGGGCCTCCAACTCCCAGTGGCAAAACATGGGTCCAGGCCACTGCGCGAGATCAACCGGCGAGGGATGCAGCTGAAAAAAGGCGAAGATGGCTCCAATACATCATACATCGTTGGGAAACATTTCTCATTTTTGCTTTCTTGTGGTTTAGTGGTTGAAATCCCCACTTAACTGCTAAAACTGATTTTTGCTCCCCTTCCAACGTCAACCAAGAATATCCCCCCTAAGAGGGTGTGCCAAGCAGCGTGGTTACCATCTTACCAGGGCGAATCACAGCTCAAGAGCCAGACAGAAGAACCCAAGCAAGGGACCGTCAGAGATGCAAAACAAGGCGGTGCTGAAGGTCTGGACAAAAACAACATGACCCATGTCCTTTTCGAGTTGTTTTCTAGTTCTTTCTCTTTTTTTTGGGGGGGGGGTCGGAAGTAACCATCATAAGCCATTTGGCCATGCTTTGTCATAAGGAACCACCTCAAAAGTGCTCGGTGGGCATGAAACCCCCACTCAAATGATGTTCACCAAAAGGTTTCGGAAAATGTGGCTGGCTTAGTTGTTACTTTGGCGTTGTTCAATTGCAAATGAGCCACGTTCATTTGGATTTTCCGATTTTGTGGTCGGTTTGCTGCCTCGGCTTCACTACTTGTTTTGGCGTACGTTGCTCGGCTGCGTCGAGCCACCGACGAGGAGAGAACTGGCGACTGCAGAAAGACTGCAAATTGGAGCAGCAGTGGGGGAGCCAAGGTGATGGACTGTTTGAGATGTAGGGGCCTTTGGAGCCACCGCTGCCGTGCAAAAAAAATGTGCCAAGTCACATGGTCCAGACGTTCTAATTTCGTGTTGGGCATGTTTGTGGCTGTGTGTGTGTGTGTGTGTTTGCTTGCTTGGTTGCTTGCTTGCTTGGTTGCTCGGTTGCTTGCTGGCTTGCCTGCCTGCCTGCCTGCCTGCCTGCCTGCTTGCTTGTTTGCTTGGTTGCTTGTTTGATTGCTTGTTTGTGTGTTTGGTTTCTTTGACACGTTGTTTGTTTGTGAGTTTGGTTGCTTGCTTGCTTGCTTGCTTGCTTGCTTGCTTGCTTGTTTGCTTGTTTGTTTGCTTGTTTGCTTTGTTGTTTGTTTGTTTGTTTGTTTGTTTGTTTGTTTGTTTGTTTGTTGGCTTGTTGGTTTGTTGGTTTGTTGGTTTGTTGGTCGGTCGGTCGGTCGGTCGGTCGGTTTCTTTGTCGGATTCTGTGTTTGTTCCTTTGTTTGCTTGTTTTGTTGCTTGCTCGTTTGTTGGCTGGCTTGCTTGCCTGCTTGCCTGCTTGCTTTCTTGCTTGCTTGCTTGCTTGCTCGGTTGGTTGATTGGTAGGTTGTTTGTTTCTGTCGTTTTGCAGAATTGGGCATATCGTTTTAACACGTGCGTTGATCAATAGGCGAGCAGCGCTCAAAGCGCTGGTTGGCCAGTTCGAGCAGGGGCTTCTAGCCGGTTCAATAGGTGTCGGGTCTGGTCCCCGCAGCTCGTTGAGTTTTCTTGGCCCGCCCGAATAGTTGTTTGATATTGGCTTTAATTTGCTGAAGTGTTTATTATTATTATAAGTAGTAGTAGTAGTAGTAGTAGTAGTAGTAGTGGTAGTGGTAGTGGTAGTGGTAGTGGTAGTGGTAGTGGTAGTGGTAGTGGTAGTGGTAGTGGTAGTGGTAGTGGTAGTGGTAGTGGTAGTGGTAGTGGTAGTGGTAGTGGTAGTAGTATTATTTTCCCTTGTTTGTTGGTCTTAAAGGGGATTTATCACTACTGGACATTGGTATTTTGCCAGGGGGCTCAAGCAAATGGAAGTTGGCCATTGTAGCTTTCATGGTTTGTTGAACGGACCTCATTTGGGTGCCGCTTTGTTCAAAGCAAAAGCATAAAATCCCTCCCCCCCCCTTGTTGGGCCGTTCTTCCAAGGAACAAAAAGAACGGTCCGTTTTGCCGGGTTCTCTTTGCTGCCACTTCCCCCCCCTCCCCCCCCC